CACTACATTGGCCAGGCTGGTCTCGAACTCCTGACCTCAGGTAATCCACCTGCTTCGGCCTCCCAAAGTGCTGGGATTACAGGCGTGAGCCACCGTGCCCGGCCCCAATTCAATTTTTTTTTTTTTTTTTTTTTTTTTTTTTTTGAGACGGAGTCTCACTCTGTCGCCTAGGCTGGAGTGCAGTGGTGCATTCTCGGCTCACTGCAAGCTCCGTCTCCTGGGTTCATGCCATTCTCTTGCCTCAGCCTCCCAAGTAGCTGGGACTACAGGTGCCCGCCACCGCCCCCAGCTAATTTTTTGTGTTTTTAGTAGAGACGGGGTTTCACTACATTGGCCAGGCTGGTCTCGAACTCCTGACCTCAGGTAATCCACCTGCTTCGGCCTCCCAAAGTGCTGGGATTACAGGCGTGAGCCACCGTGCCCGGCCCCAATTCTTTTTCTTTTTTTTTTTTTTTTTTTTTTTTTTGAGACGGAGTCTCACTCTGTCGCCTAGGCTGGAGTGCAGTGGTGCATTCTCGGCTCACTGCAAGCTCCGTCTCCTGGGTTCATGCCATTCTCTTGCCTCAGCCTCCCAAGTAGCTGGGACTACAGGTGCCCGCCACCGCCCCCAGCTAATTTTTTGTGTTTTTAGTAGAGACGGGGTTTCACCGTGTTAGCCAGGATGGTCTTGATCTCCTGACCTTGTGATCCACCCGCCCCAGCCTTCCAAAGTGCTGGGATTACAGGCGTGAGCCACCACTCCCGGCCCCCAATTTCTTTTTGAAAAAGGTAATTGGCATGGATATTTTCCTTCTTTCTTCCCCTCACAGAGATCAGTTACATATCTTTGGTGGGAAAGGTGGGCTAGGAACAAAAGGCCACGCAGTGTGGAGCCCTGGGGAGCTTCAAATAAGAGACCCTCACATGCCCACAAGGATGAGCTCTCTGAAGGAGGGGGCTGCCCTGCCTATAGTCCAGTCTTGGGATCATTCCCCTTCTGTCTCCAGAGCTCACTGCTCAGGCCAGGAGAAGGTTTTCCTGGGCTCACCAACACCTCTACATCTGGCACTGAAATTCTTGAATAATCACCAGCATTTGGACTAAAATGTGTCTTTTGCAAAGCACCCTGTGGAGACATTAGCTCATCTGACCCTGAGTGCACCCCCCTGAGACAGGAAATATTATGCCCAACTCACAGAAGATGAAACTGAGGCTTAGAGAGACGAAGTGACTTGCCAAAGTCCACAGCTAGGAAGTTACAGACTTAAGCCCAGGATATCTGATCCTACATGGCAGGTGGATTTCCTCATTTGGAAGTCATGCTGGGGAGAAGTAGATAGAAAGGGGAAAGATTCTGCAGTTCTCCTGGAAGAGTCTGGGAAAGGGAAAGAAGGAGAAAGAAGGAGCAGTCTGCTTCATCAAAGGGAAGATTCTCAGGCCCCACTGATTCTGTATCAGTGGCCATGAAGTGGGGACCTGAAACCTGCTATTTTCAAGCTCAGACTAGCACACAGCCAGGCCCATCAACAGCTCTCCCCTGATGCCCTGCCTCCTGGGTGAAGGGAAGAGGGACACGAGGTATCCTGGCTCTAGTGCAGTGACTCCAGGGACCCCAAGATGTCCACTCTGGGAGGACACTCTCCCAGGGAAAAACTACTTAAGACCCCAAGAGAAAAAGGATGGAAATGGATGGAAGGTGGACAGAGGATCTCCTTCACTTCTTTCCCCACCTAAGGCTTGGGGTTCAGGATTCTCATTTTCCAGCTACTTAGAGTAAGTGGAAATTCCCAATACTTATGGCTAATCTGATCTGTGTCTAGCGGGGAGTCCCGCTCTCTGAACATAGCAGGTGGGCAAGAGGGGATCGGGGACAGAGTTCTGGGAGACATAAACAATCACAGAGCATCGCCTCGAATGAAAGGCTGTCACCAGATCTCAGGTCGCAAGGGACTTTTGTAGCCCAGTACCCATCCTGTCACACATTAAGATACAGTGCTCCCCTTTCTCTAAGGACAGTCTCAAAATCGAGGACAAAGACCTAGAGTGACCTTAACAGACTGCCTTCTCCCACACCTGCCCAGGGGTTCTTCCCACCCTGATCCTTGCTTCTCCTAAATGTTCAGGGCTGGAGAAGGTCCCGCAGTTGGGTGGGAGCGGGTCTCAGGAGTGGGTCTTGGGTGAGTGTGGCTCTGCAGGGTCAGGGGGTCAGTGTCAAGAGATGGTGGCAGCCTCGGCCGGTGTAAGGGAGTGTTTGGTGCACCACAGAGTCAGTGCGTGTATGTGTCAGGCATGTGAGGGCCCTCCTGGGGCACAGAACTTCCTGCTGCACCCCCCTACTTATTAGGTTTTCTGCCAGGATGTCACCAGAAGCTCAGGGATCTCTGGCTCTTCTAGAAGTGCCAGGCAGGGCTGTCGCCACCTCTCACCACTTTTTATCTACTCTGAACAATTTGCCCAAGACCCATGGACTGAGCCTGGGTTGGCACTCACTCTTCCTGTGACCTTCCCATCTGCAGTGTGCTAGCTGGGGAACGTGGCCCGTCCGTCAGGCCTGGTGATCACGCTGTAGAGAAATAAATTTATTTTTGTTTATGCATTGTTACATTTATTTATTTATTTATTTATTTATTTATTTATTTTGAGACAGCATCTCACTCTGTCACTGAGGCTGGAGTGCAGTGGCGTGATCTCGGCTCACTGCAACCTTTGCCTCCCAGATTTGAGTGATCCTCCTGCCTCAGCCTCCCGAATAGCTGGGACTACAGGCATGTGCCACTACAGCCAGCTAATTTTCATATTTTTAGTAGAGGCAGTTTCTCCACGTTAGCCAGGCTGGTCTCGAACTCCTGACCTCAAGTGATCCGCCCGTCTTGGCCTCCCAAAGTGCTGGGATTACAGGCATGGGCCACCGTGCCCGGCCTATTTATTTATTTATTTGAGACAGAGTTTTGCTCTTGTCACCCGGGCTGGAGTGCAATGGCATGATCTCAGCTCACTGCAACCTCTGCCTTCCTGGTTCAAGTGATTCTGCCTCAGCCCCCGGAGGAGCTGGAATTACAGGCGCCCACCACGTCTGGCTAATTTTTGTATTTTTAGTAGAGACGGGGTTTCACCATTTTGGCCAGGCTGGTCTCGAACTCCTGACCTCAGGTGATCCACCCGCCTTGGTCTCCCGAAGTGCTGGGATTACAAGCGTAAGCCACCGCGCCCGGCAATTTCTGCATTGTTACTTTTAATTGACAAGTAAACATTGTATATATTTATGCTGTTCAATATGATGTATATACTGTGGTGCAGCAGAAGAAATTTCTAACCTCCCAGGTATCCTATCAGCTGGGAGGAAGCTGACCCCACAGCAGGAGAGAAAGAGGTAAGATTCGTGCAGAACTAGCAGTGCCGGTGGAACTCAGCAACACTGAGTCATCCCTTCCCTGTGCAGTCCCATGAAGATCAGAGGAGCCCTTGTGCGCCTTTGGAAAAGGGACTTCCTCCCTGAAGGCAGGAGGATAGCTGAGATGACCGCGAGCCAATTGGAGGAATTTCGCATTCTCCAGCCCCTCAGCCCGTCGCAGTGCTAAACAACAGGCGGCAGAGGGCGCTCCTGCCTAATCTTTCCCATGCCGCGGCGGGTGCGAGGACCGGAAGTTTGAGAGGCGGCATAGTTCTGATCTTTACCCGCAGAGTACCCGGGATTGAGCTGGGGGCCGGGCCGGGCTGGGGATGAGAGGGTCTCATAAGTAGGCCCAAGAGAACCCTTTTTTTTTTTTTTTTTTTTTTTTT